CAAAGCCTCCCTGCATCGAGCCTTCCCTTCCCGTGCAGTAGCTCCCTGCAGATAGAAAAGCAGCACAGCAGGGGGCAGGCTGGACTGGGACTCCAGGACCGGTTTTGTTCCCTCTGCATGCTGCTGGAGCATTTGTTTCAACTGACAGGGAACTGTGTTTCCGCGTGGAGAAGCACTTCCCAAGGAGAGCCCCCCCGCCCTTGCAGCTTGCAGGGACACCATTTAGGTTGCCCTTTTAGGGTTCTGCTAGTCCATCCTGCCGCACATGCACACTGCCCAGGTGGATTTTCTTCCCTTGCTGCCACCTGGCTGCAGTACTGCCAGGAACCACCGGGAGGCACAGTTCCACCTAGCCTTGGCTATTGGCAACATAAAAATGAAATAAGTAAATAAAATAGTCCCGCTGCTTCAGCTCCCTCCCTGCCGCCCCCAACCCCGGGTTCTGTCTCGGGAGCCATCCAGCCAAGCCTGGCTGTTCTCCAAAGAGCAACGCTGAATGTGCCCCGTGGAGGCAGGAAGTCGCGCAACGTGTGGTGCTCCAGATGGTGCGCTGCAGCCCAGGGCCATCTCGGCCAGTGGCAGGAGGCAGCAGGACTTGCCCCACTGCGCATTGCCCACCCCTATTGAGCAGGAACGGGGCTGCGCAAATGACACGGGCCCCCGAGGTCTGGGCGCCACTCCGGCTCTCGCCGGGCTCCTTTCACCCCGGCTCGTGCAGGGGAGCTTCCCAGCGGGTGGCTGCTTGGCGGGCCTTCTCCGCCTTGCTCCCCCTGGCAGGGCTGCCACTTGCAAAGCCTGCGCTTGAGGGCGAGTTTCCCGATCCTGTGCCTGGAGCACGGCCCCTCCCCATGCGAGGCTGCTCTTGGGGGCGAGCTCCATGGCCCTGCAAGTCTGTCCCTCCAAGTGAAGCCCCCGTGAGGAAGGGCCACTGCTGCTACAGCCCTTACCTTGTGGAACAGTCTCTTCAATCACGCTTGCCCAGTTGCTGGGAGATGCCATTGTGTTGTTCATTCCAGGCGGGTGGGAAATGTTGTGTACTGTGCATGAACCCTTTTCATGCAATATCATTTTTAGATAATTTACGGTTTTTAAAATTGAATTATTATACTCATCATAGTTTCTATCGCTTTGCGGGGAGGAGGTTTCCTTCTCTTAATGACGGATCCCTGCGACTTGTGTGTGAGCTGCTTTAGGGCTGCTTTGTGCAGTGGAAGGGATGCAGGAATTGCAGCGAGGATGATGGGGAGCAAGGCCTCAGGACACCCAGGCGACCGGCAGGACCGGGCCAGGAAGCCAGCAAGTCCCCAACTCCTCGCTGAAAGCCGCTGGGCTGAACAGATAATGGAATCTGGGCTCTGTGTTCGTTCCTCTGCTGTTTGATTCTAGGGTTGTACTCTGCACCCTTGAACAAATCCCCAAGGCATCTTATCTAGACAAAGAATGAAAATTATGGGTGGCAACGGCACACTGAAATGGCACACCATGAAGGAGCTTGCTGAAAGAGCTTGTCACCAGTAGTAAATTTAATTCAGAGCAGCAGAAAAGCAATTTGCAGAGGGAAAACTCAAGTCAGATTCTGAAGCTGAGGAAAATGAAAGGGGCACAAGGAGAACGTCATGGCAGGCGCCAGCCTCGCGCCTTCCTGCGGTTGGGGTGCCCACCGCAGCCACGTGGATCCTGCTGCGGCTCTTTTATGTCCAAATCCTTCCTAATCCAACCATTTTGGAGGCGTCCCACATATATGGGTCTATCAAAGGTAGCATTGGCTGTGCTGGCCAAATGCCAACTGTTCTGGGCTTGGTGTGCCAACAGGTGACCCACAGAGAGCTCTCCTGGTGCCCACAAAGCTCCCCCTCAGCAGCAGCTGTCTCCTGTGGGTGCCGCCCCACACTGGGCCAGGCATCCTGGCATTCGTAGGACTTTTCCTGTCTGAGTATGTGTAGGATGCACCCTAAGACTTCTAAAATCATGATTTTAGGGGTGGAGGGAGACAAAAGCACCTCTGCCCTCCGGCGCCACCTTCATGTGGGTTCAAAAGGGTGGTTTTTCTGTCTTGGTGCTCAGCAACGCCTCACCTTTGGGAAGGGCCTTTTCGTGGGCACAGGCCTTCCCCCATGACACCCACTTTGTGAGCAAGCCCACAACATTCCCAGAGCATTCATGGATCTGAGAAGAGATTCCTGCCTTTTGGAGCACCAGGTCCTCAGGAGGATCAGAGGAGGACGGGTAGCTCAGATACATTTTGGAGAAAATCCAGCCTGCCTGAGGAAGATTGATGAGAACTTGTGAGACCTGGTAGCCCCGCAAATCAAGTTCACGAGTGGACAAGGGTTACGCATTCCAACATGGTTTGCATCTTAGAGCGGTCCGACATTCTTTTGCCAAACCCATTCTCCTGATGACGGAGATTAGTCTGCAGCCACATTGCTCCCAGAAGAATCCCACCTAATCTGCCCGGATCTCGGCTGGACCAGCTCTGGCAGAGATACTCCCCAAGGGCTGAAGGCATAACAGGGGAGGAGACGCAGGAGCCATTCCATCTGCGCCAAACTGGATTGAGCCTGTGTCTGCTGGCTGAACAAAGGTACAGGAAAACACCTGGGGCATGCAGGTAAGTGGCAGGCTGGCCTGCCAGCTGGCCAGCCGGCCAAACTATTTCCAAACTTTGCATCAGACAGTTTGGGCACCAAAATGCCAAAATGAAAGCAGAAACATTATGTTAGTACATCATTATATGACAAGATTAAATGCAGAACAACTCGGCCTCACCTAGGATCTGTGCTCTTGCCCTAAAAGCTGCAGCAAGGATAATTTTGTGATAATGTCACCAATATATGCCATAACTCATCCGAACCTCCTGGATAGAAGGAAAGTGCAGGGAAAATGAAACAAGCTCTTCCAATCCTATAGAAAGTGCCGTCTAAAAAGGCCTGTGATAGCATTTCTGCTGCAGAGTTGCTACATGGACAGTACCAGTGAAAACGGTTTTCCATGACTGCGGGTGGCAAAGAATTCACTCTGGCCATGCAAAACACCCTTCTGTGTTCCAGAATGCTAAACGTTGCCGCGCACCTTGCCGGCTTGCAAGTAAGTCCTAAGATGATTGGTGGGCCATTGCTGTTTGCTAAAGCCACAGAGGAGCGAGCGCTTATGCCCAGGGGTCTTCGATGGGCACCGACTGCTATCTCCAATCTCATTGGAAGTAATTGATGTGATGAGTTCAGTTTATCATTGGTAGCTTTCAACCATACGGAGGAAAAATGATAAATTAAGAACAAAGATAAATAGCTAAGGTCAAAGGAAGGTAAACAGAGGAAAAGGTGGCCATATCTTGGCAGGCCCAAGATGTTTTGGCGCCTGAGCAAGGGACATCTCCCGCTTCCCTGCGCAAAAGCCAACTGGACTGGCAGCTTAACTGCATTCCCGCAGGGACAAAGGGGACGCGCCCACCCCTGCAGCGGGGGAGGGGTGGCACCCCAGCTTAGGAAACGCGGGCGGGCTGCACACACCGCTCTGCTCTGCCCTTCAAAAGCTCACCGCTGCCCTGAGCGTCCACCGCCCGAGGCTGCTGCCTCCCTCTGCCTCCCTTCGCAGCGGGGCTGGCCCTGGGCAATGCACACGGAGCCAGCCAGGATCTGAGCTGGGCATACGTGGCTCCATGCAGGTCGAAGGAAACGGAGTGTGGTCTCTGCATGCCGGCCTGAAGCCGGAAGGAGTGACATGAGGAAGGAGGACGCACGTGCGTGCAGCCCGTGACTTGCCTTGCCGCGGGGGTGCAGGTGGCAGAGATGGGATGGGTAGGTGTGCGATTTGACGCTCCGGGGCTGAAAGGGCAGGCAGAGCCCCCTGCGTCCCCCTCATCCAACTAGTGACCTAGTTTGAAGAATCAGCACTGAAACGGAGAGCGAGGAAGGGCAGGGGTGTGACGGGGCAGTCGGTTTGGGCCCACGGAAGAGAGGCCAGCTCCTGCATGGGCTGTTCCTGCATTTCCACTGCTGGCCAGCCTTGGGGCTCTGTGCACCTCGACGGCAAGCTGGTGGGGCTTGGGCACCTGGGGAGCAGTCAAGTCCAGCAGTTAAAGCTCCACAGGCACGGGGATGGGGAGGCCTCCAGAGAAACCAGCAGGCCGGCTGTTCGGGACAAGCAAAAGGGGCCGCTCTCTATGCTCTGCTCTCAGGGGGTGTTCTGAGGTCTGCTGCTTTCGTGTGGGACTCGGCCAGCGGCGACCAGGACCAGAGGCAGTGTCCCTCCAGGGTTCATGTGGGGGGGGGGGGGGGCACAGCCACAAACAAGGGGCATCCCACCCCGAGTGCTTCACGACAGGCTCCCTGAGAGCAGAGGTGCATGGAGTTTCACATCCAGAAAGAACAGAAAAGCAAAGACCTCGCAATCTGGGCCAGTGGGAAAACTAGCAGCAAGAAAGGCAGAACTGGGGCGGCCAACCCAAGTCATGCGGATCTGCGTATTTTGCCTAATTAATTCTGTTTGCTTCCTCTTCTGCAAAATCTGGGTTAGCGACCCCCTCCTAGGAGAAGGGATGTGCGGTCTTACACTTCTTCCTGGGAAATGGGAGCTTTGTAAAGGGGAAGACGGGGCACACAGGCCTGCGAGGGAGGGTGGGAGGAGGAAGAGCAGGATGGATCTGGGGCACAGGGTTTTTCTGCCATTTCCAGCTTTGGAGCCTCCTCTGGGCTCCCGTGATGTTGTCATCGCTTAGGAGCACACCCATGAGGACTAGAAACTTGCATTGCAAAAGTGGGTGAAGGGAAAGCAACTCAGCGGAGATGCTGCCAAAAGCAGGTGCTTGGGAGAGCAGGGAGCTCCGCGCGCAGACGCCGGTTCTGCCGGCCGAGACCGCGTGGCCGGCGGGCTCGTGCGCCTTTAATGCTCCGGCAGGTTGACGGGCGATGACGCCACTGGCTGGCTGGCTGGCTGGCTGGCGGGGGGAGCGCGGCGGCGGCGGCGGCGGCGGCGGAGGAAGGGAGCAGCGGCGGGCGAGCATGGAGCCGCCGCCGAGCAGGGGCCGCCGGCAGGCGCCGGGCAGGGGCCGGGCAGCCTCGGGGACCGCCGAGCCTAGCGGCCGGCGCAAGGTGAGGAGGGCGCGGGCGTCCGCGGAGCAGGTGGCCAGCCGGCGTGGGCGGACCGGCCCGGGAGCCTTCGCCGAGCCAGTGGCCGGGCTGCCGGCGGCGGCGCTCGGGGCCCGCGGAGCGCAGGCGGCGAAGGCGTCGCGTCCTGGCCAGGGGCAGCGCTCCCCGGCCCGCCCGGCGGCGGCGGAGGTACTGGGCGCCGGCATGGCGCTTCCTCGGGAAGCGGGCGCCCTCTCCCCCCGCCTCGGAAATGGCCCCCCTCTGGGAAATGGGCGCAGTCGTGGGGTGAGGAGGAGCGCCCGGGGGCGACGGGGAGGCTGGCGGGGCGCCGGGACCCTGGGCTCGGGGCTGGCGGGGGCTCCAGCCACATTTGCGCGCTCTGCGGGCGCGCTCTGCGTGCACGCGCTGCTGTGCTTGCGCGCCCGCACGGAGCGGGGGGAGCGGGCACGCGAGCGAGAGGGCGACCGAAGGGGCCCCCTCCAGCTGCAGATTCTGACAGGTGCGCGGCTGAACCTTTTCCCGGGTCGAGCCGTGGCGGGTTTTGCCCGCTGGAACAAGAACGTGGGCCGAGGAAGGAGGGCAGCTGTGGGACCCGGTTCTCCCCTCTTCTGCCCCAGATCGCAATTTGCCCTTGCGCGTTAGCGAGCAGAGACCGAAGGTGGGACCCGGCCGGATTCCAGCCCCCCCACCCGCCCCTGCTGCTGCTGCTGCTGCTGCTGCTGCTGCTCCTCCTCTCTTGCTCTGCCGCTGCCGTGGTGCTCCTGTGAAAATGTTCTCGCAGGGCCATCCGCGTGCCTGGCGCAGAGGTCTCTGCCCCCAAACGGCTTGCAATTAAACCTAGGCATGATGGGAGGAGGCAAAGGAAACGGCAGAGGGGGGAGAAAGGAGGTCGCACCTGCTGGACTCCTGCTTTCCCTGGGCGAGGGGCAGCTGCTGGGGTGCAGGAGAAACCCAGTGACTGTGACGGTTTCCGAGGGGCTTCTCTCCGATGTCGCCAGGTGAGGCACCTGGTCCCACACCTGTACATCCCGCTGGCCCGGCTGCCGCCCCGCGTGCCTGCCCAGCCGCCTCCAGAGCTCCCCCAAGGAGCTCTTGCCGAGCCTGGGCCGCCAGGTCCGTGCCTCGCCCCCTCCCCGCGCCGGGCTGCAGAGGCGTCTCAGGTTGCAGCCCGCGCTCCGGAGGGGCCCCGCACCTCTCCCGCAGGTGGGGGAGGCATTCCGCCCGCGGCGGCAGCCCTCGCTGCCTCGTCCTTCAGAAGGCACGGCAAGGATGGGAAGGCGATCGCGCACCTGGCGGGAGGCGGGCCGTGGGCAGGCCCGGGCAGGCAGGCGGGCGGGAGGAGGCGCTCTGGGAGCCGGCGGGGGGCGGGGGCGGGGGGGGGGGCGGGGGGGGGACGTCCTTTGCTTTGCCGCTGTCGGGAGCGCACGCGGGCCAGAGGGGAACTGAAGGGCACGGCGCGGGCGGGGCTGGCAGGAGGAAGGGCCCAAGGAGGGCGCAGGACGCCTCCTGCCCGGAGTCCCTGTGACCTCTGCCCGGCCCTGCTGTGGACGGACGGGAAAGCGGAGGCAGGCCCACTCCTGCCTGTGTGTGTGAGGTGGACCCTCAAAAGAGAACCACCTCCCAAAGGACGAAGAAGATGGGGGGGTCTTCCCACGGAGTGCTTTCCGAAGCCAGAGTTTTGGAGAGGGGTCGTACTCATGGGCTCGCTCGTGCATTCGCTCTTTCACCTTAAAGGGTGATGGAGTCCTTGAGGAATGTGCACAGCACTGAACGGTTCCTATTTGTGGATTTATATGCCCCTTGCACTGACCGGGCCTGGGCTCTCTGCATGATCTTTTGGTTCCTTTGAAGGTGGGGGTGGGGTGCAGAATGGGTTCCACTGACCTGTGCTGAGGCTGGGAGGGGGTGGCTGGACAGGCCCGCTCTCCGTGGTGGTGGGGGCTCCAGACAATCCCTTCTCTTTTTCCACCATGGAGAAGGGTGACAAAGGCACAGGCTTCACTGGAGTCCTGCAGCTTGTCCTCAGCTCTAGGTCTCTAGGCACAGACAAGTGCGTCAAGAATCCTTATCAACAGGGCAGTGTTCTGGAGCATGTGCAGAGGGTACTTGTCCTGCATCACAGCCCCCCTTCCAGTGAAGGGATTCCTCAGGCTTCCAAGCAGGAGCACAAACATTCCATGGGGAGGCCTGGAACTCAGTGGACCAGTGCCCCCTACCATCCATACCTGGTGCCCCCCCAGCCTGGCTGGGCTTAGGCTTGCAGCTCCATGGGGACTGTATTTGTGGGGGCTTTGCCTGCCCCAGCCAAGGCATTCTGTGTTATTTGACACTGGCTGAACTATCTGCAGTTGTGGGAAAGACGTGGGAAGGTCTTGCCAAAGCTATGGGCTGGGGCAATCTTCGATGTAACTGGGCCCAGTTATGCTGGACTTCAGCTCCCATCATTGGCCATGCTGGCTGGGAATGATGCGAGTTGCAGTCCAGCACCTCTGGGAGGCACCAGGTTGGGGACGGCGGGCCTGAGGTGGTGCACAGCACCTGCTGAGCGCAGTGGGATCGGACAGCAGGCCAAGGTCCGAGCATCACTAGGGCTGAAGTAGCTGCTGGCAGAAGCGCCTGCCGGAGGCCGTGGAGAGGTGCCGCCAGCAGCGAGAGGAGGCCGGCGTCGATCCATGTTGCCATGGATTCCGAAACCCGAGTACAGCGGGAGCCGCGGCTCTGCGCCAGTCTGTGTGCACCTGGAAATCAACCTTGCCATCCACCAGCCACAGGGCAGAGGAAGCCAGCCCCCTCTGGCCAGGTGCTTTCCAGGTGTGTGGGGCGGCCACTAGCCCTGCTCCTCATTTTATTTCCATACTGCCCAATGGCTGGAGCTCTCTGGGTGGCTTCCAGCACTGGGGCTGATGGGAACCAACACCTCAGGTGTACCTGACAGCCGCAAAAGACAGGCTCCGGACCCAAAGAGTTGGGAAATCTAAATTTCGGCTGGCGGAGCAGGGGCAGGGGCCAACTAAGGTGAGCCAGGGAGAGGCTGGCATCTGATTATTAAAAATAAGATGGTCTGTCTGCCTATGAGCCCTTTCATTGCCACTTAGAAATCAATGAGGGAAACAGAAACAGAGCAAGTCAGAAGGGACCTCCCAGGCCATCTAGTCGGACCCCCAGCTCCAGCCAGTGCCACTCATGACATGCCCATCATGAGAAGAGGAGCATGACCAGCTGCTGCTAAAGGTGCAGGAGGACAGGTCTGTCTGTAGAACGTGGGCAACCGGGGAAGGGCAGCCCAGAGCGGAGGGAGAACGCAAGGGCCTGCCATTTCAGGGATGGAAAAGGCTGGGAAGGAGAGAAATGGAGAGTGCCATGGCCCGTGTTGGGGGTGGTGGGAGCTGTAGTCATCCAAGACGCCTGGGGGCACTGGTATGGGAGAGGCTGCCACGAGTGTTTGGGGAGGTCCAGGTATAAGGGGAAGAAGCAGCCGCGGAGGAGGACGGACCTCCTCGTTGCTATCCTGATGACGGGCAGAGACGTTGAGGGGCCCATCCTGAGCCGCCATGTTGCAGATTCTCCAGCTGTGACCAGGATGTGCCCAGCACGCACCTTCCTTCCGTGTCCTGGTGGTGCTGACATGGCAGGAGGGGGCCGAAGGCACCCCTGGCCAGTGCAGGCGCCTCCCCTGGGGAATGCTCCAGGCAAGCCCAGTGGTGCTGCATGTCAGCGGGGCCTGCGTGGGGGGGCAGAGCTGCGAAGGGGAGCCGGAGGGGGGGGCATTGCATTTTCTTCCTTTGAGCTGCTCAGGGCAGCTCTTTTTCATGTGGACCCATGAATCTCACAGGCTGAGCCGACACCAGCATTGGCCAGACATCTGCCCCGTGGGGTGGAAAGAATGCGAGGGATTGCAGCTGGGGAGGGAAGGATTTCTCTGCCCCTGCCCCCATGCTGCAGTGCCCCAGTGCCTCCCCACACCGTGCACGGTAGTACATCCTGGGGGACAAAACCTTTTCCTTTGATTGAACTAGGAGAGCTTTACCGCAAGGGGGAGGGGAGGGGAGGAAGAGCTATTTCCCAGGATCACAGTTGGGGAAGGAAGGGCGACTCTCCCTTCGCAGGTGCTGTGCCCCCCTAACCCCCACCCTCGGGGAATTATGCTTACAGGGGAAAAGCGCTCTCCCATCCATGCCACCACTGGGCTCCAAATCTGGCAATGGCCCTCGAAAGAGCCTTTCCTGTCTTGGTCACGCCGGATGCTGCGGAGGCCGCCTGCCCCTCAGGCGCTTCCCGCCTGCCCCCGATGCTTCCAGGGGAGTCCCCAGAGCCCCCTCTGCAGAGAGAGAACCCCCAGCCCCAGGGTTCCATGGCTGTTGGGAGCAGGCGAGGCAGGCAGCCCCCGGCGACCGGGAGAGGCTGGGCGTGGCAGCATGGACAGCGACCCCTCGGAAGAAGGCCCCGAAACCCGCCAGATGGGATGGATTCGGGTACCGTCTGGGGGAGAGGCTGGGATGGGGCCTGCTGCCCTTCCGACGAGGCTTGGAGCTTGTGGGAGCTCTTCCTGTGCTGGGGTGGGGGGCATGGGGACCCCCACAGCAAACGTTCCCCTGGCCGGGCCAGGCCGGGCCGGGCCACGCCTGCCTTGGATCTCCAGTGTCGTGCGTGAGGAGCGGCAAGCGAGGCCTTGGTCAGGGAGGGCGATTCTCTGGAATGTGACCCGGGTAGATGCCAGAAGTGGGCACCCTACGGTGTTGCGTGGTTTGCCGCCTCCATGTCCCGTCTTGTAGCCCAGTGTGGTGCACCTGGCCCTCTTGGCAGTTTTAACCCCACAGCTACCCTGGGCGGTAGCTCCTGCTTCCTGGTCTGGCACTCGAACAGGAGTCCAGCTTGGGCTCTCCGATGAGGAAGGTGGGGGTGCGTGGAGAGGGACTGGCCTGCCAAACGAGGCACCTGGCAGCGCTCTCCTTGGGAAGGGTTGCTGGCAGAATCTGTCTGCTGCAGCTCCACCCAGCTTAGCAATGAACGGGACGTCCCGTTGGATTGGCCGCTTAAGCTGAATTGTGAACCCTGGCATGGCGGCCAGGAAGGCAGGTGAGTCTGATGTTCCCTGTCCCTTTCCTTCCCCCAGGTGGAACCGAGCCACCGCAGCAACCCGGATCAAGGCCCGCCCTCCCCCATCGCGCCTCAGCCCGTGTCTCCTCGGAGCAGCCTCACAGGCCTGGTGTCTCCGGGGCTGTTCTCTCCTGTCGCCAGCCAGTTCAGCGTGGATGGGCCGGTCCGGTACCAGCCCGAGGGGCCCAGCAACGCCGCAGGTGCCGGAGGGAGCACACCAACTGGGACGTGGCCTGACTCCCTCTTGGACCCCTTCCAGGTTCGGCTGCAGCCTGACGAGTCTCGCCATACAAGCACTGAGGAGCGGACAGCTGCCCGGCAAAAGCTCTCGCTGGAGATCAGCAGGGTGCAGCCGGAGGGCTCTGGCGGGGCCCAGGGGTTTGGCACCCCGACGTTGCATTCCCCAGTCGAACTGAGGCCGCTGTCCCCGGCCTCCGGCACGCCCTCCTCCCTGCACAGCATGTCTCCCTCGGTGAAACTCAGCCAGTCACCCAGGGGCAGCTTGCTCCCGGACCTGTGCGCCTTGGACCCGCTGACATCGGGCATCCTGGCCGCAGTGGAGCTGAAGGACACGCTCCCAAAGGCGGAATCCAGCGACCACATCTGCCTGAGTCGCTCCAGCTCGTCCCACCGGCCCGTGTCCCTCCCCAAAGCTGTTTCCAGCGAGTACCTCTCCAGCGGGAGGGTCGGCCCCTCCAGATCCCCCATGCTCTTCAAGGCCGACTCAGAGGAGCTGCTCCCGTTCACGCGGGTCAAGCACTCCCCCAAGTCCCATGACGTGGGTGCCAGCAACTCCAACTCCAACTCCAAGGAGAGCTTCTTGAAGCGATTCGGCGAGCCCCACGCCAAGCAGGACAATGCATTCTGGTGAGGCGGGCGCAGGCGGGGCCGGAGCAGCCCTTCGGGTGGGGGGCGTGAGGGTCGCACTGCATTATGGAGAAGGGGCGGGGGGAGCCCTGAGGCCGGGATCCCAGCTGCGCAAAAACCAGGTTTGGGAACCGCTGGCGCTCTGCAGTCATGGGCTGGGGTGGAATTCCCCAGGGCACCCGGGCGGTCGGTCGGTCGGTCGGTCGGTCGATCGCTTGCTGGTTTCTCTGTTCTCGCGGTGCGTCCTCCGCCCCCCTTGGAGCTTTCCGCGGAGTGAGAGAGGGCTGGTCTTTGGGGCGCCTGCAGGCGAGGGCTCCATGGGAGGCCCCGCAGCTCGTGCTCCACGAATCCTGCTTATGGTGCGTGGGGGAGCAAGATGTACAATACGCCCCTCGGGGACCCCAATGCCCCCGGCCTGGAGAATGTCCAGACGGCATGATGCTCACAAGCAAAACAAACGGGCTGCTGGAGGGAGGGAGGGAGGGAGGGAGGGAGCATCGCCGTGAGCCTGATTCAGCCTTCTGAGCCTGGTGCCGCTGGAGTGGTTGGACCGCAGGTCCCAGCGCCCTCCAGCCAGGTGTGGGGGAGCCGCTGTGCCAGTTCGCCCTGGACTGGCAGTGCAGAGAGCGGTGTTGCTTCCTGGGCTACAGCTCCCTTGTTCTGATGTGGAAAGGGGGCTGACTGGCCTCTCGGCAGCACCTTTCCCGTGTGGGCAGGGGCGAACTAGCCACAGAATCGATCGTGTATTTGTAGTGACCGCTTTATGTAGGCATCTCCAGAGCCACTTGCCAGCTCACCTGGGCAGGGGCCGTCTGGCAGTCAGGGCGCCCGACAGGGTGCAGCGCTCTGACACCCCCTCCCTCCATCTCCTTTCAGCTGCACTTCCAACAGGTAGGAGTCAGCCAGGCTCCTTGCTGAGCAGGGTCATTGCTCCATGCCCCTTGCCTCCTCTGTGGGCCGCACAGGCGTGCCCCTCCCTGCCTCCCTCGCGAGCCTGCTGGGCAGGAGGGGAGTGTGGAGGAAGCCTCGAATGAGACAGGCAGCCTTGGCAGCTAAGGCCTGCAGCCATGCCAAAGGGCCGTGGGCGTCATTCTTTGGTCTCCCCTTTTCTTTTTATCCTCACAACAACCCTGCAAGGTAGCTGTGAGAGTGACTGCCTCAGAGTTATCTGTGAGCTTCATGGCTGAACAGGGATTTGCACACTGGATTTTATTCCGTCTCTGCAGTCTTCTGTTTTGCATTTTCCCACCACTACTTCTCTCTCCCCACTTACTGCAGAAAATCAAATAAGGGGGAAAAGTCAGATTTGATGCAAGATGGCTTCCTGCACTGCATGCTAGGAGCCCGTCTGGAGTGGGAGTTGCAGCTGAACTGCAGGCTACTGTGGAAGGGTGGGTTCTCATGTGGAAGGAACCCAGCCAAGCTGGCAAGCCACCAGTCCTGTTCATGGGTTGCCGACAACTCCCCTGCCGCAGCTCATTAGCCGGGCTGGGTCCAGGCGGCCCTGCTTCAGCAGCGAGCCATGGTGCGATGGCGACCAGCACGCAGCCACCGAGTGCGGGCCGCTGAGCTGCTTGGAGCCCCCAGTGCGATTTTGGCTGGCATAGGATTGCCGGAGCATTAGGTGAAGGGGAGAGAGACAGAGAGAGCACTTTAAGTACCCTCTTGAGAGTGTTCTAAGGTCATCTTTTAATTCATTCATACTGACATCTGCCTTGTTGCCATAGACTCTGGGAGGTTTACAAGAAATTAAAACCAACAGTGATCCATTTGAATTGCACGTTCATTTAAAGCTTTGTATCCTTATTCAAATTCACTGACTGAACTCCAGGTTGGTGTAAGGAACTGGGGACAAGAAACTGACTTCAGCATCCTCTCTCCCCACTGCATCCACTCTTCCGTATTTTTGAATGTGGAGGTGCAAGGGTGCTGCAGAAACCTTGGGTGGAAGCACCCCTGACCTTGTAAGGAATCAAGAACCCCAGTCCAGAGGCAGAGCATCAGGGGGCTTGGGAAGCGCAGTGCATGCTGGGACTTTTCATGTGCACCGCTGGCCCCTTCTGGAATTGCCTTATACTCTGCAGCCTTTTTGAATATTCACCCTCTCATCAGGCTGCTGCCGGATTCCTACATGGCCTTGCAGATTAATTGTGGGTGCGGACGATGAATTCTTGGGCCTGGGTTCCGATGTGGTGGAACAACCCAGGGGCCCACCTGCGTGTGCACATGGCCACGGCCTGTGCTGCAGCGGCCCATGGAGTCATCAACCAGCCTGTCTTCCCATTACATGCGCACCAGGTCACTGGGTGCTGATGGGCTGAAAGAGGTGCGGATTCGAGGGAGCCCGTGGAGGGCGCATGGGGCGGCCGGGGGCGGCCAGAATGCCATCTTGGCTTGGTCACAGGTTCCTTGTGGGAGGCGGGGGCAGGGCAGCTCTGCCGTTCTTCAGCCCTCAGCTGCAGTTCCCCCTCTGGGAAATGGAGAGAATGGATCTCTATTCATAGCTTCCCAGAGATAAATGCGATCAAGAACAGCTGTCCTCACCTGCGCTGGGCTGAACGCTATTTCTGGAGTCTTCCAGAGACCTGGTTGAACCGTTGCCTGTCTGACTAGGCAGCTGTGTGCTGGGTGGACAACTGCTTGACCTGCTGCAAAGCATCCACTGGGGACAGGAGCAGCTTTTCGCCAGCATGCTATGCCTGTGCTGCCGGTGTGCTTTTGGGCTGGATTCAGAGCCTGGATACTTGTTGAAAAAGCTCTGAGGAACCCCAGACTAGGTGCTCAGGAGACCTCTGATCCCCTCCTGGCTTGCTCAGGTAGGAGCCAAGACTTTCAGGTTCCAGCCCATCAGGGCTTGGAAGAGAGCCCGCCGTGACAGATTAGGCAGGCACCAATCCTTCTGGGTTTTCAGCTTCTGCTGAAAACAGATCTTTTCTGACAGGCGTTTGTTGGTCATGATGGGTGGGGAAGTTAATTCTGTCCTCTGTACATTGCTTAGATAAATAGTTCAATAACAAAGCAATTTTATTCTACCATACTCTTGCCCTTCACACATTTAAAAGCCAAGAGGTGGGAAAGGCTAGAAAAAGGGACTGGTCCTACAATTTGGTATCAACAAATTGTATATTATTTTTACTGTATATTTTAATTTGTCAGCTTTAAAATGGGCTTGATGCATTTTTAGGCATTTTGGCAGGCTGTCCTGGGTGGCTCGTTGCAGATGCGCGTGCGTGCGTGCGTGTGTGCGTTGCAGGGAGGGAACCAAATGAAATGAAGGGTTCAGGCTTAGCCCCAACAGCTGAAGAGTGGGGACTGCATTAATGTTCCGTTCTGTGCACTTGAAGGAAACAGAGATGAGAGTGAAGGGAACAATGAGAAGGAGAGGCATGAGCGGAAAAGAAGGAAACAAAGGGGGAGGAAGTGCTGAAAGGTCTGCCAGGCAAAAAGTTGCATTGCTGCACCGTGTGTTTCAGAGGCAGCCTTCATCAGGGGCTCTAATGCCACAAGCATATGCAAATAGGCTTCTTCTGTACATCTAAAGTGCACATCATTCTTCTAATGCACGTTGCTCCAAAAATGTGGAAACAACTGAAGACAGGAACATGCTGCACAGTCATATACATGCTGCTGCGAACTGTTCAGTGATGGCATTTGCAAAATTACCTTCGAAACCTTTTCTGGTACTTTTTATAGTATATGAAACATCTGTAAAGAAAAGGCAGATGCAATCAGTTCATATTATGTTTATGCGTACAGAACTAACCACCTCACATCCCACCACATTCACCATTAGATGAAACGGATGAAACATAACTGTTGATTAGCGCAAATTAATTTGCACTCAGCATTTCGGATCCTTTCTTTACTGTTTCCTCCTCTTCCACTCATGCCTCCCCTTCCTGTTGGATCGAGACCACACAGTCTCCTGCTTATGCGCTAGATACATGCATTCATCCCTCACCAGCCTACTTGGAGATCTGATACCTGGAGACTCTGGGGGAGGTGGAACGGCCACCCAACTCCAAAAAAGAGGATGCACATCCAAAGGGAAGAGGGCAAAAGAGGACCAGTATTTGCACATGTGAATTAATGTGCACAGATCCAGACTTGGAAATAGCTCTCAGGGAAAGAGCCGCATGGGGCATCTCATCCACAGTGGGCTGGTGGGCGGCTCCTGCTTCCACCTTGGGGCTAGCTGGGATGGGCAGCCTGCAGGCACGAGCGGCCCTTCTCCTTCTGGCGCTTGAGTCCAAGCCAGATTTGGGCCAGGCAGCCTACCAAGGGGAGGACGCCCTCAGCCAGCTCTGCCAAGGCAGGCTGGTCCTCCCGGCGGGTGGAGCAGGATCCCTGGGGCAGGTTCCAGGACGTGGAGCCAGCTGAGCCGTTGGGCAGACAGAGCTGCCTCTGCTGCTGCTGCTGCTCCTGGCACTTGCCACGAGGGCCACAGCGCTGCCGGGGAGCATGGCTTGTGCGGCCTTCAGCCTGGGGGCAGGGACCCTGTGAGCCAACGCGCTCCGCCACCTGTAGTGAGCCCGCGGCTGGGTCAGCTGCTCCTGGCTATGCGTGCACGTTTATCGAGCCATTGCCCAGGGACCTGTTGTCTCCGCAGTGAGTCAGGGAGCCCAGAACATCTGGCACTTTTTCAAGGGCTTCTGCCAAGCATTTAGGGAGAAGACACAAGCCAGGCATGCCAATCATATCAGCACTTCGCTCCCCGGTGCACGTGCCAAGAGTTCGAGGCGCATGGCCTGCATGGTGGCAGAGCTCTCCAGGGCATAAGGCCCCCCCGCATCTGAAGGTCTTCTGCCCCCTGCTGCGCTGCACGCTTGCAGCGACCCCCCAGGATGCCTGCGGGAGGCCCCCCGTCACCACCCCAAAGGCCTCCTTTGCCACAAAGCCCTGGTCTCAGCCCCACCGTCCCCCTGCCCGACTGGATCTCAGCCCAAGGGTGCATGGCTTACAGGAAGAGCATGGCCTGCCTGAGGTCTGAGATAGGGGGC